ATACAATTCATGGATTTCGGGCCTATCCTAACTCTTTTGGGTGTAGGAATCGTCACTTTTGCAAGATACCCCCACATTCGTAAGAATTTATACGAAGGCTTAACGTCTTTCCATAACTCATACGACGTCTTGTCCACCTCGCTTCAACACAAGTTTCACACTTGTGTTTCGTCAGAACAACCTTGTCGGACTAAAAAACCATGCGAAAACATGTTTATTGAGAAAAGACCTTGAGACAAGATTCTTATGAAAGTCCGGAATATACAGGACTTCGTTCAAGGTCAGCTCCTTTCCTGACGTCAACTTCAGGACCACCTTTCATTTCCCCTCAACAATCAAGGTAGCAGAGTTTTCCATAAACAACTTCTCACCATTAGTAACCGGTTCGAAAGTTGTAAACAGCTTCTGCTCGGAGCAAATATGGCGTGTAGGCCCAGTATCAATCCACTATTCTCTTGGGTTTGAACCCACCAGATTCACCTTAGAGACAACGGCAGACAAGTGCATATCATCCTCCTCATAGGAGTGCTCTTGTAAGTCTGCCATATGAGCAAGAGGTTTGGTTTTGTATGGCTTCTTCTACTTGTGGCAGTCACTAGCCCAATGCCCCTCGTTACCACAGTTATAACACTTCCCAAAGAATCGATAACCTGGTTCCTGCGGCTTGTAAGCCGACTTCTTTGCAACACCACCCCTTGGCCCCAGTTTAGAGCTCTTGTTCACAGGGGGCTTCTTCTTTATCCCAGAATATTTGCCATGCTCAACGACATTGGCCTTTACTGAGGAGGTACTCCCTCCTTTCTTTCTATTATCCTTCTCAATCCGGAGTCGAACAACCAGCTCTTCAACTGACATTTCCTTGTGCTTGTGCTTCAAGTAATTCTTGAAATTCTTCCAACCATTGGGAAGTTTCTCAATGATCACAGCAACTTGGAATGACTCATTCAAAGGCATCCCCTCAGCATGAATATCATGCAAGATCACTTGGAATTCCTGGACTTGGCTTATCACAGTTTTAGAATCTACCATTTTAAAATCAAGGAACCAGCCAACCACAAATTTCTTTGCCTCGGCATCCTCAGTCCTGTACTTTTTGTCCAGAGATTCCCATAATTCTTTTGCTAAGCTCTTGGAACAAAACACAATATAGAGTGAGTCTGCCAAGCTGTTGAACACATAGTTCCGGTAAAGATAGTCTGTTTGCTTCCATGTGTCAAGCGCCATGACTTTTTGCCTGTCAGGCTCATTCTCTGCCACGGCTGGAGGATCCTCGCTCAGAACCTTGGCAAGGTTAAGCATGGTCAAGTAAAACAGCATATTTTGTTGCCATCTCTTAAAATTTTCCCCAGCAAATTTTTCTGGGTGCTCATGGTGACTAAGCGGTCCTCCCGGAACAGCCGGAGTAACACCATGGTTGACCACAGAGGTCACAGCAGTAGGGGTTGGTAATCCAGTTGCCCCGGGGTTCAAATCCCCACCAACATTAGCAGTAGCAGCAGCATCAGTGATAGTTGCCATTTTCGAAAATTACACCAGAATATCACTTCTGTGTTTCCAGAAATTAAACTTAAACCTTAGAAAATCCCTTAAAAAAAAAATTAATTCAAAAATTAGTCTCACCACAAAACCTAGAATTGAACATGGTCAATAAAGTTCCCAGGAAGACTGGAGGGGTCACATCGGTCCCACTTAAAACACAGTTAACCTTTTGACAAAACTTTTAAGAGCATGTTGACTCCTAGTCCATGATAAACAATTTTAATAATTAAATTTTCTTAGGGATGAACTAGGTTAAAACAAACCAAGGTCCAAAATTTTTACAAGCAATATAAAATGATTGCTACAACAATATAAGCAAATAAAACTTGCTACTACAAATTGGTAAACAAACCAACTACATCTCAAGCAAACATGCTTCAAACATTTAAATAAAATAGTCAATCCATAAGGATTCTATTTAGTCCAAAAGCCTTTCCACGCTTAGGTATTCCTATTCAACACAAAAGTTAGTAGTCCAAACATTTTTGTTTTTACATCCCAAATACTATTCATTTGGTTTTATATTCGTTTTTCGCATTGGTATCCCTACAAAAAAAGTTAGTAGCAAACCAGAACAAAATACAAACAAATAATCTAAAAAATTTAATAAATTAAATGAAACCATCTAGCCAACTTTTAATTATATAAGTAACCAATGCATTAAAATGCCAATTAAATTAAAACTTTAAAATAAAGTTCTATACTCATGGGTTATGAATGAAATTAATTCATAATAAACATTTAAACTATTAACTCCAAATAAATAAGTTAAATTCAAAGTTAATGCACCCAATTAAATAATTCAGATTAATGCTCCCAATTAGATAATTTAGATTAATGCACTTAATTAAATAATTCACATTAATGCACCCAATTAGATAATTCAGATTAATGCACCTAATTAAATAATTTACATTAATCATGTAAACAATTCATAAAAAAAAACTCTATAACTCCAAAATACATTAAATTATGTAATCTAGTCTAGAAAATAAAAAGCATGTAACAAATTAAAACTAGAATAGAATTAGCATGTCAAAATTGCAACATCCATAAATTATATTTTATAACCTTAAAATTCATGCAAATTATGATAGATAATTCTAACTAAACTAAGCAATTAGAGAGTACCATAGCATGTCTTCCCTAAAAGCCATGGCTTCCATCACTAACGAGTTAACTTCAACTAATTTAGTAATCATATTTTTATCAAAAACACTAACTGCGTTATCAAATAGATTAAATTGACACAAAGTTTAAAATTAATTATCAAAATTTAACTAATTAGAAGTTTAGTAATCAAAATAACGCGATAGACAAAATATGATGACTACTGGTATAATTTGTCCTCATTTATATAACCCTACTCTTTAATTTTCATTTTAATGGGGTGATTATTATCAAGATAAATTTAACTTTTGTCGTGTACTTTATTGTTTATGGACATAATTATTTTCTTTAAACAATTTTTTTATTTTTGGAATATTTTGATACATCCAATAAAAAAATGTTCGGACAATTGTTAGACATGTTTTGACAAAGAAAATGCTTAAAACCTTCAAAATTTAGCTGTGATATTTAACAAATTGCATGTTGGCTGTTAAAATTAAAAAGTTCAGTTCACACTTCTCCTTAAAATTCAAGTATCAAGGAGAGGGAAACTGAAATCTTATAACTAGTACAGATGATGCAACTCTAAGTAATGTGAGACACATTTGTTGTTCAAATTGTGAAATTAAATAAATAGATTTATGAAGAAATCAAATTATATACCAAGAACATATGCTGATAATTACAATTAAATTTCAATAGAAATACACAAAACAATAAAAGGGTAAAGAGACAAAACCGAAGCCTGCACGGAAGCAGTTTCCTTAAAACAGATTTCGCCGCCTCACGGGTCGAGTGCTTGAGGAATCCCGGCGTCTGTCATCCAGGATACGATGGTCAAAACCAGCTACGGCAGAAGCACTTTTTGTCTAGCTTAGCGAACAAGAACAGTGACAGCACTCTCTCAATGTGGGAACTTTCTGGCAAACTGACTTGTAAAATGGAAGCAAAAAAAAAAAATTCTATATTGAAACTTGATAGGAAAGTCTCAATTTATACATGTAAAGGTGAGAGAAGAAGAGCCTCCAGCTTTTAAGGTTGGTCATTAAAACACCAAGCATCCATAGCCCCTTTCCAAAAATATGAAAGTTTGGATGCCCAAAGGATTCACACCCTTTAGGCAAGAAAAATGATTTAAATACTCTTTAAAATCCTATTCATGAATCTAACATCACGATGCAATTTCTTATTCAAAACCCAATGATTTTTGACTCACTTGGACCTAACACAATAAAAGGTTGGGACTCACTTTTATATTTAATTAAAGTCACCACACTTTACTATTAAATTAAAGTCACAAAAAATCATTTTTTCCAACAACATTCCCATACACCCTCCTAGATCACAACATACACTAGCTAGACAAACGGTACACCAGCCACAGGCCCAACTAAGTTCTGATATCAAATTGAAAAGTCAAGTCCACACTTTTTCTTAAAATCCAGGTATTAAAGAGATGGAAACTAAAACCTTATAACTAGAACGAATGAGACAATTTCAGGCGATATAAGATATATTCTAACAATTAATTGATTTAACAATGATTACAGAGAAATTTTGTGCTCATTTTTTATTGGGTATTTTTTAACTTCCATTTCCCTTCGAGTAATGTTGTTTGATATAATCCCAGTGTAGATACTTGTTGATTATTTCATTCATACCCCCTGGTTCAGTGCATACCTCATCATTGAATTTGTGATTACAATATAAACCCCACTTATTAGATGCTAATAATTTGATGGATAAAGCATCAAAAAATTATTTTTTTTTAGGGGCATTTCATCATCATAATGAATATTTGCTGATCCTGCTTTAGCCGAGCTTGTAAATCTACTTCATTTCCCCTGTCAATAAATTGAAAGATTGAGAATTTAGGTCACTCCTAAAGCATGGGACTCTAGAAGGCCAATGATTTCCGACGTAACAAATCCGGGTTACTAGCCAGTTGAGATTTTGTCATGTTCTACAATTCACAACTATTATTTTAAAAAACGTGATTTAAAATTTTCATAACATTGTATGACTATTACATTGGCCCAAGATTTTGTGTACTTTTATCATGGTTAATTAATTACATATGCGGCACATGCCTCAAAATCAACTTGTATTTATTACTAATCACGTAATTTACAGAAAATGGTACATAATTTAATTAGTAGAGGTATTTATCTCTTGCGATTATGTTATTAAAGAGAAAAGTTAGGTATCATGAATTTTTTTTCATGAAAATGATCATGGAAGATTTGTAATTTTTAGATTACCTTGATTAGTGTGTGGTGCTTTATTTTAAGTGTAATCTAAAGGTCATAAATTTTTCATGAGTTTTTTTTTATGATGCCTAGCATTGCTCGTTATTAAAAGCTTCAATACAAAGTAGATTAATGATAGGAAGAACATGTTCTTTCGTGCACCTAAAAGAATCAAATCTACACATTTCTGTACATAAAAACTTTTCTCACACCTATAACAGGTTCAAAACAATTACATCAAAGAATTGAATCAAATTGTAAAAAATAATGACCTCATAGAAGCCACAAAAAAAAATTTAGTAAGTCCACAATGAAACATCAATCTCAGTTTCAACATCATCCCAGTTGAAACGAGCACCCAAGCAAGGAGGTGGTGAAAGCAATGGCCCATCTGCCATGCCCAAAATCAATCCTTGCATGTCAAAAATTGCGTCCTTCTCTTCCTCCTCATCCATGTGACACACATTATCTCTAGTCCCATTGCTGCTTGAAGCTCCATCATGACATACCTTGGTGCCAGAGACTCCATCGGATAAAATCTTTTCTTCAACTCTGGACCCCGTATTGTCATTACAGAGATGATCTGACGGCCGAAATGCTTCTGCTGCTTCCACAGCTGCACTTCTAATGTCCTTGGCATCCTTGGAAACAGGGACAGGCAATTTCCACACCGAGTCAGCGAAATTCAAGCAAGCCAGCTGACCCTTGAGAGCTAAAGCCGCAACATCGTGAGCTCTCGCAGCCATCTCAGCAGTTGGGTACGTCCCTAGCCAAATCCTTGATTTCTTGTTGGGTTCGCGGAGCTCACAAACCCACTTGTTGGTGTTCCTCCTCCTAATTCCTCTGTACACCGGGTGCCTCGTCTCCTTGAACTTCTTCCTCCCAGCACGCTTCTTAGGCCGGCTTGACGCCAGTATGATGGTTTCTCCATCAGAATGCGTCGCACCCTGTCGGGTACAAGCATCTGACTCTGACAAAGGAGAGTTTTGGAAATTTGACCTGAATAGATATGGATCTGAACATGTACTCGAAGTATCCATCGATGACATGATCCAGATAGTGTTTGTGTTTGATCCAAATAGTGTTTGTAATGATAATCAAGTAGGTCTGAACTCGAATTTGGTTTTGCTTTTTGTGGTTTGTCAGCTTACTATAAGTGAAGTGAGTTGTGATTTGGTTTTTATATAAGCAAATGCAAGTACTGGTATTGTCTGGATGGGTAGGGGGACACGTATTTGGGATGAGGACGCGAACACGGAAGCTGATGGCTTGGGGGCGGCCACCTAGTAGGTCCCCTTACTTTTTTTTTTTCCCAAAAATGGAAACATCTTTGACTCTTTCTAGTCAACCTGTCAGTGGAATTTTAACACGTGTTGAGGTAGTGATGACGTGGCGAAACTTCAAAGTCTTGAAATACTGATAGTAGGAAGCAGCTGAAAACACGTGGACCTTTTTGTTAGGTCTTAATAACATCGTAAAGTGCGTGTTTTTGGAGCTAGATGTGACGTGACCAGATGCGTTTGATTGGTACCTCAAATGCTGCCACGTGTGACGTCATTTTGCTTAGTTTAGAAGGAGTTCAGAAGTTCTATGTGACAACCTTTCCAAACAACGTCGTTTTTAATTTTTTTTATATTTTTTTATTTTACTTTTTAGTTTCTTTTTGTTTTTTGAACTCTAACCCCTCTGCAATAGACGAACAAAGAGGCGATGAACAGAGAGGACTATGCAGTCGACGTAATTTCCTATCGAAGCGAGGAGTGACGAGGCGGTGGTGAGGCGAGGGGAGGCAATAATGAGATGAACCAAGAGAGGCGACAAGAGACGAATAGAAAGGGTAACGGTGGTGAGGCGGCGACGAGTATACATTCACAGAAATTGATGATTAGATTGCCTGCTTTTAAGATCTTTGTTATTGTGCTGGCTTCTAAAAAGTACAACAGAACTTCTTTACATCTGAAGAAAAAAGTTACCAAATTTTTCAAAAAAAATTTACTCAAAACTAAAAAACTATACATATTGTGGGGACATAATTTTTGAATGACAACATGTGGTCGAGGTGTCACCAAAGTGTCAGCCGAGGTGCCACGTGTCATGGTCATGATGCCGAGGTGATCTCGGCTAAGCCGAGGTTATCTGTGAATATGTCGGAACCCGAGATAAACGAATAAGGGACAAGAGTCCTAGAATGAGAGAAGATTTCAGTTTGGGTAAATATGAGACTCTTAGAGAGTTTATCCTAATCCTACTAGGAGTCCAAGATTAGCAGTAATTCTAAGTCCATTAGAACTAGGCTTCTATTGGGATTAGGATTATGTTGGCTATAAAAGGAAGGCACCTCCATGGGTCTATGGTATGCTTTTGATATTCTGTCTAGTGAGTTAAGCACTATTGGTTATCTTTGAGAGATATTAAGTACTGACTTGATCGTCGAAGTGCCCCCGGGTGGACGAACCATCGCCAGAATCTTCTTTTTCTGTTAAAAGTCATTCGGGCTTAATCTATTCTGCCGGTACTCTCTAGTTGGGTACCTGTTTGGCAGTGTGGTCAGAAAATCATCCACACAATTTGACGCCGTCTGTGGGAACGAAAGGAGAATAGATGGCCAACGACAGACCGAAAGAGAAGGTTGGGGACGACACCTCTACTGAAAGTGGAAAACATATTGAGCGTCGAAGAAGACAACTACAACGGAGAAACTCGTGATAAGAATCACGGAGAAGAGGACGTCGGCCAGGAGGGCGACGTGCCGAAGAAATCAGACCGAAGCAAGTATTATAACAAGGGCGACCTCCAGGTATGGAAAGAAAGATGCTTATGAAGGGACGACGAGATGAAATGAATGACGAACAAATTGGCGGACCTGCAAACGGTTGTCAATTTCATGATACAGAACAACGTCATGTAGCCACCGTTCCCGTCACAAGATACGTCGATTCCAGCAGCCAAGAAAGATGCCCAGGCAGGGGGGCAGAAGACAATTCCTACGACTCCTCAGCACGATAGGACCAAGGAACATTCTCACCGGCCTTCAAGGAAGGTCGAACGAGGAGAATCAAGAAGGGGAGATTCACAGAGGACACATCGCTTCAAGGAAGCTGACTCCAAAGAACATCGGCATGTTTAGCGGAAGGACCTCTGTTTCGACGCGACCAATGGAGGGAGGTCCAAAAGGACTCGCAATGACACACGAAGTAGTGCACCAAAGAGGCTAAAATCCGGAGATAGCCGAGCTCTTGGACGAACCAAGGAAGATCTGAGGGATTACCTCCAGAGAGAGCGACAAGATGCCGAGGTGACCTCACCTGTCAAGCCGAGATAACACTGGATATGAAAAGACAAGAGCTCAGCCTAAGTAAGCCGATCCCGGATTCCAGATCTCGGATCCCAGATCCCAGATCCCAGAAGACAAGATCTCGGCCTAAGATGATTAAGTCCTAGAAGAGAAGAGTTTACCGAGATAATGTTTAACACTTGTTGAAACTTGAGAAAAATTTACAAGTTGAAGTTAAACCGAGATGATATTTAACATTTGTTGAAACTTGAGAAAAATTTACAAGTTGAAGTTAAACCGAGATTATGTTTAACACTTGTTGAAACTTGAGAAAAGTTTACAAGTTGAAGTTAAACCGAGATTATGTTTAACACTTGTTGAAACTTAAGAAAAGTTTACAAGTTGAAGTTAAACCGGGGTCATGATTAAATGAAGGAATGATATAGGTTCCATCACCTCAGGATGCCGAGAAAATAGAACCTAGGGGGCAGTTATGGGTTTATAATTTTTGAATGACAACATGTGGACGAGGTGTCACCGAAGTGCCAGCCGAGGTGCCACGTGTCATGGTTATGATGCCGAGATGATCTCGGCTGAGCCGAGGTTATCTGTGAATATGTCGGAACCCGAGATAAACGAATAAGGGACAAGAGTCCTAGAATGAGAGAAGATTTCAGTTTGGGTAAAGATAAGACTCTTAGAGAGTTTATCCTAATCCTACTGGAAGTCCAAGATTAGCAGTAATCCTAAGTCTATTAGAACTAGGCTTCTATTGGGACTAGGATTATGTTGGCTATAAAATGGAGGCACACCCATGGGTCTAAGGTATGCTTTTGATATTCTGTCTAGTGAGTTAAGCACTATTGGTTATCTTTGAGAGATATTGAGTACTGACTTGATCGTCGGAGTGTCCCCGGGTGGACGAGCCACCGCCAGAATCTTATCTTTCTGTTACAGGTCGTTCGGACTTAATCTATTCTGCCAGTGCTCTCCAGCTGGGTACCTATTTGGCAGTATGGTCAGAAAATCACCCACCCACACACACACACACATATATATATACATATACATACACACTTCGTATTCACACACTTACTTACAAAAATCCACCACCCTCTTCCATATACACAAAAGAACAAGAGGAAATGATAAATTTATTATTGAAAAATAAATTTGAATCTAAAACAAAATGAGGTGGTGGTGATATGGTGGTTATGTAGATTTGTGATAATGGATTGTAAATCTATGACTTTAAAGTGCAGATCTGCGATGGTGGAGTGTAGATTTGCGACGATGGTGGAGATGGTTGGTGAATGGTGACAACATCCGAATAACGATGGTGATGGTGAGTGGACAGTAACGACGACGGTGGTGGTGTGAAATTTTTGAAAAAATGATGGAGAGAGAGATAGAGAAAGAGAGAGAGAGAGAAGATGGTGAGTGGATGACGACGTTAGCAGTGGTGGTGGCGTGTGGACGACGACAACGACGATAGACACTGGTGGTAAGAAACTTTTGAAAAAATTGTGGATATATATATCTATATACATAGAGAGAGAGAGATGATGAAAGAACTTGATAGGTCTATATTGTAAGATTTATTGGTGCATTCAAAATTTCAATCGAACTTAATGGTATTTAAGTTTATTTAATGAGACTAGTTGGTGATTAATTTATCCCTACAAATCAAACATCAATCGTTATGTTGGTTCTAGAAAATTGAGTTCATTTTTCAAAAAATTGAGTTTTTTTTTTTTTATATTTTTTTTGTTTTTAGTATTTTTTAATATTTTAAGCAATATTTTTTTAAAAAAAAATTGTTGACTGCATCTAATCTAATTACGCTTAAAAAATATACTATTTGTGATTTTTTTTAAAAAAATTCACTAAATACAAAAAAAAATGAAAATTTAATATATTTTCATATTTTGTTATATTCAATAGATTTTTTTAAAGATTTTTGTATAATTTTTTTACTTTTATGTACATTAAGATTAAATGAATCTAAAAGTTAAAAAAATTATTTAAAATATTTTAAAAAATAATAAAAAATATAAAATAATTGAAAACTTGAAAAATTATTTTTGAAAATTGAAAATCAAGGTGAATAACTTTGTAGTTGAGTTCGGACAAACATTTTAATATTTTCTTTGTCTAAAAATTTAATATTTACTTATTACATCGTAGATTAAAATCTTAGTAGGTGCATTTTCGTTCCAAATGCAATTTTTTTTTATTGGTACTCGCAAACAACTGCATCTAAACATAGGAAAAATATAAAAATAAATTACACTTATATCTTTTGAGATTTTAAAAAAACAATATAATTAACTCTATAGTTTTAACATAATTATATAAATATTTTTTAAGATTTTTATTCATACTATATTTAAGATTTTTTTTATTCAATAATTCGTGTATGTATAAAAAACTAAGGTTATCTTCTTTTTTCTACTAAAGTGAAGATATTAGCTTTGTTTATTTATATATATACCTGCTATCTGCATTATTTCTGATGATTTTAATCTCATTAAAATAGATCTAATATAATTATATCAAACTTATAAGATTAATTGTATTTTATCAAATGTCAGAAAAGGTAAATGAAATTTACCCCTCCCTCCCACAATAAAGAGTAAAATCCGACACACATTTTACTAAAGGGTTCATTTGGAATTATTATTTTTTAATTTTTATTAAAAAATATAAATAAATAAATTAACTTTTTATATTATTTTTCTTTCTTTCCAAACTACCAATAGATTGAAGATGTGACGCAAATGTGAACACAAATACAACACAGTTAAATGGCTGCTGTCGTAACACGGAAACACGCCGACCATGTGTGGACTTATGAAAAATGCTTGGGAGCACTAATTAGTGCTCCCA